AGCAGGCTCCCCGCTGAGCAGGGAGTCCGATGCGGGGCTCGATCCCAGAACCCTGGGATCATGACCTGAGCTGAAGGCAGACGCCTAAGGACTGAGCCACCCAGGCCTGAAGTGCATCTTTTTTAAGTTTACCTTTTTCTCACACAGTAAAGTGCACAAATCTTTTTTTTTTAACCTTTTTTTTTTCTTTTTAAGTAAGTTCTCGCCCAAGGTGGGGCTCGAACTCACGACCCCGAGATCAAGAGTCGCATGCTCTACCCACTTAACCAGCCAGACCCAAGTGTGCAAATCTTAAGTGGACAGCCTGGTGAATTTTTCATACGCATGACACCATTGAGCCAGCTCTCGGATCAAGATATAGATCATTTCCATTTTCCAAGCAGTTCTCTCATGCATGTTCCTTGTCAGTTCCCCCCCAAGGATCACCACACATCAGTCTGGCCTGTTCTGGAGCATCCGGTAAATGGAATCCGAGAACCCACTTTCTTTATATGCGGATGCACGGATCAGCGGATGCACACGGATGATACACCAATGGGTGGGTAGGTGGATGGGTGGACGGATCAATGAGTGAAGAGATAGATCCACTGATGGATGAACGGGGTGAACTGACGCCCGCGGGCCCCTAGGGGTTCTGGGTAAGGTCTCAGCCTGGCAATGGGGTAAGACACAGGGCAGGGGATCGAGGGTGGGATAGTCAGGTGTGAGGCTTGACACCCCTTGCCCACAGCAAAGTGACAAGGACCTGTAGAGCTTCTGGCCTCACCCCCAGCGTAACCTGGATCCGCGGCCGTCCTGTCTTCCCGCTGGTCCTCACCCCTCCCGCCGCCCCCTCCAAGTCTGGGACCCCTGCTCACCCCCACTCCCTCTCTCCACTTGGTCCAGACCCAAGTGGGTGTTTGTAACCAGCGCGGACATATTAATCAAGTCTCATCGACTGACCGGGACCTTGGAGCCTCCAACCCCAGCTCGCTGACCCGCAGACCCCCAGGAGCCCCTCTGGGCGGACCTACAGAGACTTCTCGAATCGGCTCCTCCCTATTCGGGAAGCAGCAGCTTCCTCCCACCCGAGTCTAGCTTTTATCCCGCTTGTTGCAGTGTGGCCTTTTGAGGGGTCCTGAGTAGGCGTGACGGGGGAGTTAGGGTCGCGCAGGAACCTCCCCCGACGGCTGGTTCCGGGCGCGGGTTCTGGGCGCCCCCTGGCGGCCACGGTCTCCCCCGCATCTCCACTCGCTTCCCCTTGAACTTGGAGACGCTGCATTTGGACGGTGCCTGCCAGTCACTCAGAGAGAGGAGGACGTTAACGTTCACGCAGGACCACGGGCGGCGCCACGAGACCGCTCCCGGCACGGTCACCAGCGGCGTCCCCCCTGCCCTGGATCCCCGGGGCAGTTCTCAGCTATCCGGCCCTGGACGCCAGCCGGCCCCCCTCCCTCCCTCCTGGGGGTACTTCCAGCCTCGCGGGGTGGGGGTGGTGGCGGGCGATCCTCCGTCCTGGCCGCTTCGGCTGAGTCTCCTCTGCTGGACCCCCCCCCCCCAATTTCCTCTCCTCTTTCCCTCCCTCAACCGTCCCTCTCCCTTCCCTCTCTCCTCCCTGGTTCATCTACACTCAACTCCTAGAACCCACTGCCACTGCTTCAAAGGCCACCCGTACCCACAAGCTGAACAGCCCCCTGCGCTCCAACCCGAGTCCAGCCACTTCTGCCTCCTCGCCGTTTACAAGCCTGATAGGAGGCTCAGGCTTAATGGGGCCAAAGTCCAATTTCTCTGCCTCCCCCCCCCCCCAAACCCAGTGTCTCCAGGTGTCCCAGACTCCGACTCTGGTCTTTTATCTCCCGTCTCCTCCATTCATTCATTCCGTTCTCATTCATACTGTCTCCTTCTCCATCAGCCAGGGAGGTGACAGAGTTTTACTTTCTGGAATGTGCGTTCCCCAAACCATCCGTGCCCCGTCTCAGTGCAGGGCACCTCCATCCATCCAAATGTTCTGCTTGGAATAAACTTGGTGTTATCCTTGATTTCCCTCTGGCCTTTGCACCAACACCACCCTCTCACCCAATCTGCATTCCACCTTCAAAACCCATCAAGATTCTGGCAACTTCCACCGATTCCACACCGGTCCAGCAGCAGCATCTCCCACCTGGACTACAGTAGTTGCTTTCTCACTGGGTTCCCTGCTTCATCTCTGGCCCCCTACAATCTGTTCCCCACCCACAGTCGGAGGGACTCTCTCCTCACATGGTCCCTACGGCCCGGCATGATCTGGTCCCCGGGGTCATCAGGGGCCCCACCTTCCACACTCTCTCCTCGGTTCACTTGCTTGCAGGCAGCCGGGTCTCCCTTGCCCTTCGTGAAGTTCCCAACCCCAGGGCCTTTGCACTGGCTGTTCTGGCCACCTGGGAAGTTTCCCTGTGATACCCACATGGCTGCCCTCCCCCCCCCCCATTTTATTCCAGTCTCTGCTCAAATGTCAGCTACCAGGAGACAACTCAGTATTTTGGCTTAGTTCTTAGGTGGCTGAATGGGGCTGGGGACAAACTGAAGGGTTGTTTCAAAGGGACAGTGGACAGGACTTGGGTTGGAATCTCAAATCTGAGCAAGTCTGGGCAAATCATTCCCCTTCCCTGTGCATTAGATTCCTCAGCTGTAAAAAAAGGAGGTCACAATATCCAGACACAAGGACTTGGGACAGAGACAACTTTGTACAGATGAAACAAGTATTAATTTTTTAAATGGCATTATTGCTATTAAAGGAAAGGGAGGAATCCATGTTGCCAGGTTTCTGGCTTGGGGGCCTCATGTGAGTATTGTTCTAGAGTTTGGGTCACGGGACTTTCGATCATCACTCAACATTACTTCCACTCCACCCCCCAGACCCCACAAACATGTAGAAAAGGTAAGGCACAGAGGTGTGGAGTCATCCTCAGCTGTCTTGTCTGTCTGTCTGTCTGTGCTCCTGCCTCATTCATGGAAGGCTGGGCTCTCCAAGGGGAATGGAGAAAATCCTGGTTGGACCCAGGACTCTCAGGACGTCTGTGTGGCCTCGGGTAAACCTCTTGCACTCTCTGGGCCATCGTCTCGTTAGCTGGCAAAGGAACACAGCAAAAAATGTCAACTTTTCACAGTGGTTTACGCTCACGCAGACCTTAGAAAGCTCTTAGTATTTTAAAAACGATTTTCCTGAGTCTGAGAGCAATGCATGGTTGTGTGGGGGCAGGGATCAGAGCCTAAATAGAAGCCACGGCAGGGGTTTTAACCAGGAAGGGGGTTACTACGGGGATGGGGGGCTGACGACAGCCCGGGAGGCTGGAGCGGCGGGCTCCGGGCCGGGCCCTCAGGAGCGACCCCCAGGACGACAGCACAGAACCCTCGGAGGCCAACGCCGGGACCGCTGGGTGCAAGAACGCCCGGCCCCGGCCGGGACCCTGGGGTGTCTTCTGCACCACTCCCGTCTCTGGAGGGGTCCGCCTGCCGGAACCTGCTCCGCGGCCAGAGTCCGGCTGCGGGGGGCGCCGCCTCCAGCCTCCGCCGCCAGAGGTGAGGGGGGTCAGCCGGGCCCACCCGGGGTCCCCCTGCCCTGAGCAACACGGGCGGAAACGGAGAAGGTGCAGAAACGCGATGGAAGGAGAAGAATCCACCGCGATCCGCCTTCCCGGGCGCAGCCTCCAGCGCCTTTCTCTGCGCGTGCGTCTCCAGACTCGTACGCACTGGTCAAGGTCGTGCGGCGCCCTTGGCCGGTGGAGCAGTTCCCAGACACAGATCCTAAGTGTTTCCCCAGCTCGCTACACATTCGTCCGAAAGCGGACTCTTTACAAATGGCGGTGAAACGGCCCAAGTGGAGACACCCCACTTGTAAATACCCGCGTCCTGCTCTTGCGTCTTTGGGCTGCTTCGGTCTCTGTTAATTTTCCAAACAGCGCGACAGCGGACACCTTTGTGTGCATCGAGGGGTCTCCGCTTCTGAATTGCCGTTTTTGAAAAGACTTTCTCCATGATGGGAAATTCGGAGAAGCTGGAAATAGTAAGAAGGGCAAAGAATCCCCCGGAATTCCCCGCACCCGAGAGACTCTGGGCGCCCCTGTGTTTGATGAGCGCCACACGCACGGCGGCGGGTCCTGTTTGCTTCCGTCCACAAGGCATCTGCACATAAACACGGCCCGGTTACTACCCGCGCGCCTGTCCCCTCGGTTAGTGGCCGGGCCTGCCCAGGGCCATGACCGGCTTCCTTCCATTCTGGTCTGGTCCCCCCGCCTCTGCACGATGCCTCTCCCCAAACTTCCGGCCGTTTCCTTAGGGCACGTTCCCAAGAGTGCAATTAGTCGGGCAAAAGGTAAGAGCATTTGTGAGGAGTGTTTGGCATGGACTCCAAGTTTCCACTTAAAATTTTTCTTTTGTTTTTTTTTTTTCCTGACATTGTTGTAAGAGCAAACACTCACGGAGCGCTTACTCTGTGCTAAGAACTTTCCCCGGGCAGACTCAATCCTTGTCATAAGGCACCATGAGGTATCATTATGTCCATTTTGCAGATGGGGACTCTGAGGCACAGAGAGGTTGAGTCACCTTCACAAGGTCACACGGCTAGTGTCACACAGCCCCCTTTGAAGCCAGGAAGCCGGCTCCCACATCCAAGCTCTTGATGGTTCTTCCATTTTTTGGTGTCGGATGGTCAGAGGCAGATCCAGATTTTGTGGTACCTGGAGCTTTTACCATTTGGGGGACCCCCTTCAGGGAAAATAATGTTGCAGACTGAAAAGGAGGTGCAGGGCCTTGGAAGGAACCCGTGAAATCAATGGCCCTGACACTGGAGCTCCAGCAGCAGCACGCTGGGGCACCCACCACTCCCCCCAGAACTATGCGTTTTCAAACAGT